TTTGAGTTCTAGTCCCGCTAGGCACAAAACCAGCCGGGTAACTTTGGACCAATCCCACTCTCTCAGCCCGTGTTAGAAAGCAATCACAAACCACTTCTAAAACCTTGCCAAGAAACTGCAAGGACTCATCCAGGCAGTCACCAGAACTCAATATTGACTCAAAGTGTAAATATACATACATTCTCATACACATCCTATCACCGTGATGGTGAACCTATGGCAAGGGTGCCACAGGTGGCATGTGGAGCCATATCTGCTGGCCGTCAGCTCCAGTGTGCATGCGTGCACCGGCCAGCTAATTTTTAGCCTTCCGGAGGCCCCGGGGAGGCCATTTTCGCCCTCCCCAAGCTTCAGGAAAGCCTCCAGATCCTGGAGGGTGAAAAACGGGCCCAACAGGAAGTTCAGAAACAAACTTCCGGTTGGCCCATTGGGCCTGCGGTGGTGTGTTTGTTTGTGTGTTTGTTTGTGTGTGTGTGTGTGTGCTGTGCGCATGCGTGGGAGGGGATCACACGTGCAGGTGGGGGGGTGCATTGCGGGTGTGGGGCACGTGGTATGCGCTATCGCACGTACACGTACAATTTTGGCACACATTTGCAAACATTTTCGCTATCATTGCCCTATCACATTTGGGCTGCAGAGCTTCCAACAACCACTAGAAGGCAGCAAATAGTAGTACGCTAGGTAGATATTTTTATATCTCTCTGCTGCCATCTAGTGGTCCAGAGTTTACCCAGATATGGGAGACTTCAGCTAATTTACTCAAGATAGCCCCAGAAGTGCCTTTTCCCAAAGGCGACTGGACTCTGTGTATTTTTTTCTCTTGAAGACATTTTGGTTCTCATCCAAGATGCACTTTCAGCTGAGAAAATAAAGATGCTTCTTGGAGGAGAAGTGAAACATCTCGAAGAGAAAAAAAAACATAGCAAATCCAGTTGCCTTTTGGAAAAAGCACCTTTGGGACAACCATGACCTAGATAACAAAGAATCTCCATAGACATTTGGCCCAAATAGGCAAAGCCTATTTTACTTAAGATTTACTAGCCCCATCTCCTAATCTGAGGTGAAAGCTACCCTTGGCCCTTGAAGGATATGCAACCATTGAATTTCAGAATTAGTGGATAATTCCAGAATTTTTTTAAAAAAATGTTTTATTTTATATTTCACTAGTTGGTAACTAGGTGTTGGACAGCTATTTATTTATAGGGGGAAAATGTCCGGACCAAACGTAATTTCTAATGTTGGATTTTTCCCCTTACCAGAGGGAGCCCCCTTGTGGAGTACTGTGAACTCCACTGCCATGGTATAGTAGGTACTACAGTACTGTATTTCCCTGAAAATAAGACAGGGTCTTATTTTCTTTTAAACCCCCCCCCCAAATTTTGCTTGGGCCTTATTATCGGGGGGGCTTATTGATTTGGGGTTGCCGGGTGGCTGCTCTCTGTCCCACCAGAGTCTTCCAACAGCCAGCCCACAACCATAGAGCGTAGTCCCAGAGCAGCATCTGCCGGAAGACTCGGCAGCGGATCTCCGGAGTTTGGAAGCCGATTATGTTCGGAGCATGGCGGTGGCGATGGTGGCGGAGCTCTGGCTCGGGCCTGCAGGGAGAGCTGGGCATGGTGAGGCTGGGAGGCACATGAGCTGGAGGCAGAACAAGTGCTCGCGCAACCTCTTTCTCCAGCCGAGCAGAGCACCACACGGCTTAGCGCCTTTGTGATATTACTGGGTCGG